GATAATTATTTTCTGAAAAAAAATCAAAATGAGAATTGTGTTAAAGCTACTACTATTTGAATATTAGATTTTTCTGGAATATCTGCAGGAGAGGAATGTTGTTTTTTGTTGTTGTTGTTTTTTAAAGTAATTTAGACTAGTGTTTCCCAAACTGTTGTCCCCAGGAAAGAGCTGGCTGGTCATATGGTACTTAGGCTGCTGCTTCTCCTCATTTCCAGTTGCTTAAGTGCATTCAGAGAGAACTAAAAATAAATTAAATACTTTCCTAAAATTACTTTCCCATGTAAGCAATTGCTGTAGTTGCTACAGGGATTTTATGCAATCAGAAATGGGAGAAAAGGTGGTACATGAGAACAAAATGGGAGAGGAAGGCCTCCATGAGACAATCTCTGCATTAAAAGACAGTTTATGTAAAATTTTGGGAATCGCTGCTTTAGATTATTTGGATCCTCCTCTTTTGATATAAAAGGTTTTCCAAATGCTTAATGAAAATCTTTCTATTTGACATTCACACTATAAGAGTAGTTATCAAATCACTTTTAGACAGAGAAAGAGTAATGAAGCAAGTATGAAGAATAAATTGAAATATTTGGTGTAAAATAAAACAAAAAACCCCCCAAAGAATTAACCTCCTTAAAACACAATGAAAGCTTGAGTCCAAAGGGACATAAGTCCAAAGGGAAAAGGAATAACCTTTCTGTCTTATAACTGAATCAGGCTTTACAAGGACTTGGCTCAAAACAGATTTTTTTGTTTAAATGCAGTTGTTTTTCAACTTCAGAGTATGACAATATGAAATATATTACTAGTATAATATTTAAATAAGTAATCAAGGTTAAATAAATATTAATAAAAAATCTTTGGACAAAAAACCAATAACTTTAACCACAGCACAGAAATTGAGTAATTGAGAGAATTGGTAACAAGATAGTTTTTCATCTCTACATAACCAGATCAAATCCAATTCAAGTCATTTAGAATATGATGTGAAGTTTGATTTTATTTCTGAATTATACTTTATTGCATTCTGCTCTTCTGATTTTCTATCTTCAGCAAATTTAGGTTTTCCATTTGGGCTATTGGTATCTGTCTTTGTTTGCTTTCAACGTTAGTTTTAGCTTAATGAATTCATACTATGCGCAGTTAATTTCATTCCCAAAGAGGAGTCACGTATAAAGTGAAATTTAATTTAATTTTGAATTATAATACATTTTCCTGTGCAGCATTTATTAACTACAGAATGTATAGAGAATTTCTGAAATAAGTGGCAGTTCAAGGGCACAGAAATATTTTTGGTATATTTTCCTTTGTTTTGATAAAGATATGTTTCTCATTCTATGTGTAGACTGAGTATTTCAGTAGTAAAGCAAAATGGTGAATAAGTACAACAGTAAAAAGATGTGTTGTTTTTATGGTACTGACGGTGAAACCTTAAGTTACATATCAGTGGAAGCATCAAAGGATCAAGACTTTGTCCTGTTACTTTAAGACTGTTAATGAAATGCAGAAAGAGGAAATGATCCAGGCTATATGATGTAATTTATTCTATTTTTATTGTTTAAAGTTCAAAGGATTTACCATTGTAAGAAGAATGTATGCAAAAGCTGCAACTGCAGCAACAAATATTTTTCCCACCTCTGATTTTTAGGCCAAATGCTGTTCACTGCAAACAACCAAACAGGGTGGATTTGATTTAAATCATGATTTAAATCACTAGTCAAGAAGACTAGATTTAATCATGGATTTCTACATAAAAGTGCATTCTTGTTGGTTGTTACCAAATGTAGTAAGAGGAGGCCCTGAGATATAAACCTTGGTATCAGAGGCCTGGTATGAGGCCTAAGGCCTGAACTAAAGAAATGGTCAAGACTTTGCTAACATAAAGCAAAATTAAGCTGTGAGCCAGAGGCAGGCCCTGCTCACAGAAGCTGGCAAGGAAAGGGCTGATGCTGCAAAAAGATACATACCTAAAAAGTACTGAACACTAGATATCAGAACACTCCAATACTGGAACATTCCACAGATAACATGGAACAGGCCGACCCATCCCAATGACAGGGGCAAAAGGGTAAAATGATGGATAGAGTTGTTTTGATCGAACCAACATGTACAAGGTGGGAGGCTGCACCTTACTACATAGAGGGGTTGTACCTTGCTACGTAGAGGGGTTGCACCTCAATACGTCAGGAGTGATGTGTAACTTGTTTGTACCTGTGTATAAGAATGTATCCCTGGGGTGGTGTCTTTGTCCGGCCGAGGGGGCAGTGGAAAGTCCCGCCACTGACTGAGCCGGGTCCATTGCCAAGAGGCACTTTCTCGTAGTATGCCCGGTAGACTAAGTAATCTACGGGGAACTGCAATTGTGTCCAAGGTCGCAATAAACCTAGTCAACGTGACTTTGCATCTTACTAGACTCTGTGGTTATTGGGGGTTCTCTTCGGGTCTGCTGTGTCAGCTATCTGCGCAGAGCTGGGGCAGCACACAGAGGGAACAGACGCACGCAGCCGAGTGATATCAACATAGGAGAAAGCAGAGCACCACACCGGTAGCATCTGACAACACTTTACAAGAGCAGGTTTACTATAACTTTTAAAAGCTCTGCGCAGATAGCTGACGTTTTTCCTCAAAAAGCATTTTGTCAAAAACATCCAATTTAAATAAAAAAAATCATTGATTTTTATCCACTCTGCAACCAAAGTTAGGGGGCTATGCCCTGGTTAGATCATCTGCATTGAAAGTGCAGGAGGAAGGAATTCATCTTCCAGGCCACATGGCGGCCACTGCAATTTCCTCTATCGCAATGGGGAGCATCTCCTATGAGGGAACACCCAAAGAATATATATATATGTGGTGGCTGATATGCTGGCCCCCTCCTCTGATTTGCTGTTGCGTTGTCTTCAAAAGTACCTTCTATGCTGAGGTGCAGAAAGTCCATATGGAACTCTACTCCATTTTGTATGAGGGCTCCTGGTCCCTCTATTCCTTTACCCTCTCTTCCCCCCTTAAATATCTCAGTTGTATTTTATTTTGCTGGATCTTAGAAATTAATAGAATTTTTTACCTGTGTTTCACATCAGTGAAATCAGTATCTGATTTAATTATAGTTTCTGCAGAGTCTTACAGCTGAGTGACTTCAGTTGATGCCAGGTGACAATTGCTGTTCCCTTCTATACGCAAAGCTTTGTAGTTCTCAAATACACGTATTGCATACAACAAAAATTCCATTTAAAATGCTTTTAAAAGTTTCCCTTTTGTTGGAGTATTGAAAAGGCAATGTTAATGTGTGTAGAAACTAAAATTTTATTTAAAACACTCTATGTATACATCTAGAGTTCTGTGGGAAAGTGGTCAAAGATTTCTTGCCTAAATCTATTTGGGTATTTGCCCCTTAAAAAAAAACAAAATACAGTACTTGCCAATGAAATCAATCTCTGATAGATCAGTATAATATAGTTTAAATTAGGACAGTCAACTCATGTGATTAACTCAAAACAATTACCGGTAATCGCGATTAATCGCAGTTTTAATCGCACTGTTAAACAATAGAATACCAATTTAAATTTATTAAATATTTTTGGATGTTTTTCTACATTTTCGAATATATTGATTTCTTTTACAACACAGTATACAAAGTAGACAGCACTCACTTTATATATTTTTTTATTATAAATATTTGCACTGTAAAAATGGCAAACAAAAGAAATAGTATTTTTCAATTCACCTAATACAAGTACTATAGTGCAATCTCTTTATGGTGAAAATGCAACTTACAAATGTAGATATTTTTTGTTACATAACTGCACTCAAAAATAAAACAATGCAAAACTTAAGAGCCTACAAGTCCACCACTGCAAGGTATTTCCATGCCAGATATGCTAAACATTCGTATGCCCCTTCATGCTTCGGCCGACATTCCAGAGGACATACTTCCATGCTGATGATGCTCGTTAACTAAATAATGCATTCATTAAATTTGTGGCTGAACTCCTTGGGGGAGAATTGTATGTCTCCTACTGTGTTTTACCCACATTCTGCCATATATTTCATATTATAGCAGTCTCGGATGATGATCCAGCACATGTTGTTTCTTTTAACAACACTTTCAATGCAGATTTGACAAAACACAAAGAAGGTACCAATGTGAGATTTCTAAAGCTAGCTACAACACGCGATTCAAGGTTTAAGAATCTGAAGTGCCTTCCAAAATCTGAGCAGGACAAGGTGTAAAGCATGTTTTCAGAAGTTTTAAAAGAGCAACACTCCGATGTGGAAACTACAGAACCCGAACCACCAAAAAAGAAAAACTACCTTCTGCTGATGGCATCTGACTCAGATGATGAAAATGAACATGCATCGGTCCACACTGCTTTGGACGATTATCGAGCAGAACCTGTTATCAGCATGGACGCATGTCCTCTGGAATGGTGGTTGAAGCATGAAGGGACATATGAATCTTTAGTGCATCTGCCACATAAATATCCTGCGATGCCAGTTACAACAGTGCCATGTGAACGCCTGTTCTCACTTTCAGGTGACATTGTAAACAAGAAGCGGGGAGCATTATCTCCTGCAAATGTAACCAAACTTGTTTGTCTGAGTGATTGGCTGAACGAGAAACAGGACTGAGTGGCCTTGTAGGATTGTTTTTGTTTTTGAATGCAGTTATATTTTGGACATAATTCTACATTTGTAAGTTCAACTTTCATGATAAAGAGATTGCACTACAGTACTTGTGTTAGGTGAACTAACTATTACTAACTACTGTTATTTTTGTTTTTTACAGTCAAATATTTGTAATAAAAATAAATATAAAGTGAGCACTGTATACTTTATATTCTGTGTTGTAATTGAAATCAATATATTTGAAAATGTAGAAAATATCCAAAACTCTTTACGTAAATGGTATTCTATTATTAACAGCGCGATTAATCGTGATTAATTTTTTTAATCATTTGACAATCCAAGTTTAAATGCATTCTTTTGATGATTGTTACTCACAGGATATGACAGCTCGAGATTTGGTGCAGCAAAGGTATACTCTTCCAAATGGAGATACTGCTTGGAGACCATCTCCACTTGTTACTGCTGCCTTGGATGGGAAGCTTGTTATTCTTGATGGTATTCATCGCGTCAACTCTGGCACCCTAGCTGTACTACAAAGGTTGGTATGGGAGCCCTGTTAAGCAGAGTGCTTGAGACTTGTTTATTCAGGACGTTCATGCTCAGAAACTGTGTCCTGTTTGCAAATACACAGCTGTGCAACTCCAGGTATATTGTAAAATTGCAGTCAAGGTATTGGATTTTTACAGAATACATTATGTTGGGATAATGATATAGGGATACAGATATTGAGAGCAGAAGCAAGCCTTGAGTGTGTTATGTAAACTTTTATTAATATTGGAAATTGCAGCTGTTTGTTCATGCTGTACTTCTAACTAAATTAGAAAATGTATTTGTTTCTATCCTAGTCAAAACTATGAGGCCTAAACATTAATAAGTTAACATTTATTAAGTAGTAAAGACATTATAAATAGTATTTGAAAATGCATTCTGCTGCTAAACGACTGATTAATTATACTCACTCTGAAAAATGCTTTCTTGGAATTGTTTAGTAAATTGATTAAAGGGATCTGAAAAAGGGGGTGAACAGTGAGGTGGCAAAATTTGCAATGATACAAAATTACTCAAGGCAGTTAAGTCCAAATCTGAGTGATAGAGTTACAAAGGGATCTCACTAAACTGGGTGACTGGATGACGAAATGACAGATGAAATTCAGTGTTGCTAAATGCAATACACATTGGAAAATATAATCCCAGCTATACAAACAAAATGATGGAATCTAACTTGGCTGTTACCACTCAAGAAAGAGATCTTGGAGTCATCGTGGAGAGTTCTCTGAAAACATCCACTCAATGTGCACTGGCAGTAAAAAAGTTAACAGAATGTTAGGAACCATTAGGGAAGGGATAGATAATAAGTCAGAACATATTATAATGCCACTATATATCTCCATCGTACACCCACACCTTGAATACAGTGTGCAGTTCTTGTCACCCCATCTCAAATAAGATATATTAGAATTGGAAAAGGTGCAGAGAAGGGGAACAAAAATGTTTATGGGGATAGAACAGCTTCCATATTAGGACATATTAAAAAGACTGGGACTATTCAGCTTAGAAAAGAGATGACTGGGGGAGCATATGATAGAAGTCTATAAAATCATGAATGGTATGGAGAAAGTGACTAGGGAAGTGTTTTCCCCTTCACATAATACACGGACTAGGAGTCACCCAATGGAAATTAATGGGCAACAAGTTTAAAACAAACAAAAGGAAGTATTTCTTCATCCAACGCACAGTCAACCTATGGAACTCACTGCCAAGGGATGTTGTGAAGACCAAAAGTATACTCAGTTAAAAAAAGAATTGGATGAATTCATGGAGGATAGGTCCATCAATGGCTATTAGTCAGGGATACAACTCCATGCTCTGGGTTTCCCTAAACCTGTGCCAGAAGCGTCTGACACTAGCCACTGTCAGAGACAAGATACTGAGCTATATAGATCATTCGTCTGACCCAGTATGGCCATTCTTATGTTCTTATGAATTAAAAACAAAAATCCTAAAAGTTACACATAATAATGTAAACTGTATTATTAGTTAATAATTACTACTCATATAAAGCCAGATTTTGACACTTGTGTTCATGTTGAATAGTAATACCCTTCTCCATGAGTGATCACGTTAATGGGGCCACTTGTGAAGGAAAGTGATAATCAGGAGTAAGGAGGTATCAGAATCTGCACCATAATAAGGAGCCCAAAACTGCCTGGAGGAATGAAATTTTTCTTTTTACTTGGAACAAGTAAAAATATCACTTTTGAATATACATATCTTCAGTTCGTTTTGGTTTGCACCTCATAAAATCTTATCATGTTTTAAGTTTTATTCCAAATAAGACTTTCATCATTGTGCTTACATATTTGATACAAACATATGACAGCATTTGTAGTGCATAAACTATAAAATTCAGTTAACATCTGAACTTTCTGAAAACCTAATAATCTCTTCTGATCTTCAGTTTTTTATTAGATACCAAGGTGATCCTTGCATTAAACATAGTTAGCCCATTTTTTTTCAAACTGTATTTGTACTGTAATATGTAATTAGGAAGATAGCAGTTTCAAATTACTATTGGTCAAACCCTGTTAGTTTCACTATAATTTGATAAATATGAAAAGTGTTTCCTTTGCTTTCTGTTCCTCTTAATTTTTTCTTTGACTGAAGTGATCTGAAAAAGAAAAACCGTAGGTTTGTGCTCTTTTTTGCTTCTTTATGATTTGTTGTACAAAGACCCGAATAGTTTTTCTCTCTCTCTCTCTTCACACCTCCAAAAATATTCTGCTTGTCTTGTTTTTTTGTAGAAATAACAGGAATGCCAAGTCTTGTCTTCCCTTTTTTGTTGTTGGTGCACCTCTTGGATGACTCAGAAATGTGTATAGGGAGTTATTAGACACAACGTGGGTGCGGTAGTATCTTTTATTGAACAGAATTCTGTTAGTGAGAGAGACAAGCTTTTGAGTCATACAGAGCTCTTCTTCAGGTCTGTGTGGCTCGAAAGCTTGTATCTCTCACCAACAGAAGTTGGTCCAATAAAAGATATTACCTCACCCACCTTGTCTCTCTAATATCCTGGGGCTGACATGGCTATACAACTACACTGCAAATAGGGAGATTTGTCAGCCCATTGCTAACGGGGAAGTGGTGTTGAATCCTTAGCACAAAGAGCTTTTCACCCAAGTTTTGTAGTTACATAGCTGTTAGCAAAACCAACAGTCTAAATAAAAATAATTTCCTCTCTTTCAACTAGGTTTCACTTCCCTGGTACCTGTGCTGTCATACTCCCTGTTAGTTCTCCTTTCATCCAAAAAGTGTTTGAAGTAGACCAGACCTGAAGTTCTGATATAAAAACTTAAGCAGAACCCCATCTATAAGAATAAACAGACTTGCAAAGACCTTTCATGCCTTCTTCACACATTACAAAAAAAGCAGGACAAGGTAGTGCAGGGCCAGGCATAAGTCCATTTTTTTCTCTTGTGCATTTTGTTCACCTCTGATTCTTTTCATTTTCACTAACAGAATATATATCAGTTAAGATGACTCCTAAAATGTATTGCTTCTAGGAGCAAAATAGGAGTACCGCACTGTGTACCAGTCGGACAAAAATATTCTGAATTTCACGCCATACACAGTGAGAGTATAATAGAAAATCTTCATGTATGGTCTGCAGTGGTTTGTTTATTTCTGAAAAAAAAAATCTGTCATAAATGGTGTTATGTACTGTACTTACTGAAAATAAGTTCTTTCTTGAGCTTGCCATTTAACTGGCATTTTTCTCATCATAAGGTCCTTCACTGAAAGCTATAGGTCTCAACTTTTGTTAATAACTCAGGCATTGAAATTAAGAGTTCTTGGATGGAATTCCTCATTAAAGTAACATTGGTTGAGATAACTGTAAAAACTAAGACAATTAAATACTAGATTTTTGTTCTCTTTTGAATTACCAAATAGGCTAATCCATGACAGAGAACTGACTCTTTATGATGGCACCAGATTACTAAGAGAAGATAGGTATCAAAGTTTAAAAGACGAACTGCAGCTCTCCGATAAGGAACTACAACAGAGGTAATTTGTTAGACACTAACATGGTATGCAAAGTAGTTTGTATGTGATTCAGGTTGTAAAGAGTTTTCTATTTTATTGCTTGCTGTTACTAAGGTTTCTTGCAAGATGCTTGCTTTTTAAATCAGTAATAGAATCTGTTTTTAATACTGCTATCCTCAGTACTTTTTGTGTTAGCATGAGAAGAAAAATCTTAAAAGAGAATATTAGAGCAGAAACATTAAAATATCCTAGCTGAGAGAGATTAAAGAAACAATATAAATACATAAAAGTTTAGACACATAGGGTATGTCTAAACAGCAAAGAAAAATCTGCAGCTGGCCCATGCCAGCCAACTCCGGCTCACGGAGCTCGGGCTGCAGAGCTGTATTATTGCTGTGTAGACTTCCAGGCTTAGGTTGGAGCCCTAGAGTCTAGGTCCATGTGGGGTAGGAAGGTCCCAGAGTTTGGGTTCCAGCCCAAGCCCAAAAGTCTACACAGCAGTGAAACACCCCCGCTGTCTGAGCACTGTGATTCCAAGTTGGCTGGCATGGGCCAGGTGCAGGTTATTTTTTGCTGTGTAGACATACTCATAGATGCACTGCATTGTTTTGAAGCATTTTATTAAGAGACATTGAGAGTTAAACAAAAAAAAAGTTGAATATTATAATTATTTCTTTCAATAGATTAGCTAGAAAGCTGGTATGTAATTTAGAATTAACATGAAGCAGGAAATCCTAAGGATGGGTTGGGGCCTGTCATGCTTATTCTTCTTGCTTTTTCACTTCCAGTTGTCTGCTAGAAATTTTCTCTATGTTGAAATATTTCAAGTCCTTTGATGGCCAGACAGATACACAGTCATTGTACTGACTGATTTCAGTTAATGGCCAAGATTCTATTTTATGTTACTCAAAACAAATATAATCTACTATGTAATACTATCTTTCATAAATTCTGAAGAGATGAAACTGTTATTCTTAGATGACACTGCAGTTTAAATAATGTGGGTTTTATACTTATTATATTGTGATAAATAACAATATATTGTTTTACAGCGACCAAGAGCAATAGCTGATTTTTACAATATACAAGGCATTATGGATTGCCTGTAATTAGAACAGAGTCTTGTGTGTAGCAGGAGAACACACATTAGGGATTGTATATCAACTATATAATGGGTACAATTGTATGGGTCTTTTGTATAATATAATATTTGGATTCTGAAGTAAAATACAAAATATCTTCTGTTCTTCTCTATATTTCCTTTTAACTTTTACCTCAATGACTCTTGGTAGTAAATTAGGTGAAATAAAACACCTCTTCAAGGCAAGTTGATACTACTTTTCTTGGTTGTCCAGTTAGACCCTGTACTATATGAATGTTAAAACTGAATTCCTATTTTTAATAAAACCTGTTTGACCAGTTGATATAAGACATGGGAGAACAGACTCCAACCAGTGATCCAAAACTTTTGCAGAAATTCTCAAATCCAAATTAATTGGGGAGATTGGATGATATGGGGCAAATTCCTTAGGGTTTTCCCTTTTTAAGAATGAAAAGAAAAGGCATTTTTAGAGGAATTGTAGAAGGTATCCTCTTCTAAAGAAGCAAGAAACATTTGAACAAATCTTTCAAGTGATCTTTTCATCTGTAAAAGGATTAATAGCAAAGTAAACATGATGGGAAAGGTTATACCTGCTTTCTTTTAGTTACTTTAATTAACTATTAACATATTTTTGAAATCTGGGCACCTATTCAATAATAAGAACACAGATGCCCACCCAGAGTAAATCTGTGGTATTTTAGATACTTTATAACCCAACACTTAATAAAAATGTCCAAAGCTGATAAGATGATTCTTCTGACAGAATAACAATTGCTTTATTTTAACATCACTTTATTTTATTTATTTTTGGAGGAGAAGGGAGAATTACACAGGCGTTGTTATGACCCAGAGAAATTACATGTGATCCTGAGAGTCAAACATTTTTAATTAAGAAGGGTAGAATTTGAGGGATTGAGTGGAGTGGTGGCATGTTATTTGTTTAGGTTACAAAAATCAAATGAGATAATATTACAATATTACTTCTGGTTTTGCAGGCTAAAAATAATAGTTTTATTCTTGAATTAAAATTTTTGGAGGATGTATGTTAAAGCTGATAACTTCTCTGAGAGCTAATAAAATTTATTTCTGACTCAAAAGATCTTACACGTGCTGTCAGTTACATTTTCACTTGATGTTCCACCACGTTACTACTTCCATAGTCTGCACTAATTTTTTTAAACAAGGATTACGTGCTCCGCGGGTGGGTGGGATGACTCTGTCAGACATGACAAGAGCTCAAGAAGCTGATTTGCGGTTATGGGGATGGAGGATACTCATTGGCCAGTTGAAGGCCTTTTATCTAGGAGCTAGCTAGCTCCCTGCATTGAAAATTGTTTCCACTGGCCTTCTCTTTAGCCAGTTGTGTGGTGTTGTTCAACAGTCCAGGTACAATGGCATCCAGTCACATGGGGAAATTTTATTTTGTAGATTATGGATAATGGAAGAAGAAATCTATGCTGGTGATGAGGAAGGGATTTAAAAAGACCCTCTACGTATAGAGAAATTGTTGCTGCACAGTTTTAGCTATTAATAGAATTGTATGATTCACTATGTTGAACTAGTTCTGAGTGAAGAAGTGCAATCACTTAAAATTGATTCAGAATGTATACGCAGGCTTTCTGTGTAGAATTTTCCTACATAATCATTTGCTGAGGCAGATAGTGTGAAAGTGGCATTCCATAACTATAAATACAGTTGGCAGACATAGGGCAAAGCACTAGTTTTGAAACAGTATTTTAACCTGTTTGGATGGTTTGTTTTGTTTTGTTTTTAGACTTTTCCACATATTAAACCTTTAGTATAGTAAACAGAAAGGCAGCTATTAGAGAAAAATATAGAAATGTTTATATAATCAGATTTGCTTCAAAAGCTGAAAGGAGCCGATTATAATGCATGGGTGGGTATTCTTAACACCCTTAAGGCAGTGAATTACTGTCCATGTGACTAGGCTAAAAGAGAGCACATACAGCATATGAGACAAATATAAGCAATGTTGCAGAAGGTGAATTTTGTAGACAATAGAAGCTCCAATATTGTTAAATTTTAACTGAATATATTCACCACCCTTTAGTTCTGAGTTGTTTATTTTCACTTATTTTTGTTTGTTCATTCAGTTTTAGTGTATTTGAACATATACTAAAGCAGTTAATTTAAAAAACCCAATAATCCAAGCCAGTGTGTTATACATTGCAGAAAAGTAAAAAGGAAACAGATGCTTGATAACTTTTTATTCTGGCAGGGATAAGTGATGGAATATTTGAAAAGATGCAGCATAGTTTTTCCCTTTAATTTTAATATATGTCCTCTATCTTAAGCCCCTTTAAATTATAGTTGTATAGTTAAATTTGTGTTGTCAATACATGAATTACAGAATTATTTCATATGCAAACACCTAACCTTCTGACACATAATTATATTCTCGTGTGGCGATACGCTTTTGATCACCACTTATACATTCGTTCTCATTTTGATTGCAGTATTAAATGATGGTTTGTGAAACTGTAGAAGAGGAAAAGACAAATAAATGAAAAATTTATGTGAGGCAGCAAGGGAATGCTATTTGTGTGCCAAAGACAAGAAATCAGTCTTTAGCATTGTACTGGTGGGACTGCATTCTCTACTCAAGCTTCAGTGAGGTTATTTTCTGTAAGGACTTATCCACACTTACAGAGAGATCAACGATCGATGCATTGGCGCTCGATTTAGTGGGTCTAGTGAAGACTCCTGTACTCCACTGGATTGAGAACAGTAGGGGGAGTCGATGGGAGACGCTCTTCTGTTGACATCTCGCAGTGTGGACCCCGTGGTAAGTAGGTCTAAGCTACGTTGATTTGAGTTATGCTATTCACGTAACTCAAGTTGCGTAGCTTAGATCAAATTTCCCCTGTAGTGTAGACAAGGCCTAAGATTCTTCTTACCCCTTGGTGGAGAGAAATAGGGTCTCATGATCTCCCCTACTTGTCTGACCTACAGATTGAACAGGCAAGAGGAAAGAATGAAGATGTCTGGTACTCATTAATAAAGTATTGCAAATCCCTCCAGTAAGTTTTATTCTAGGTTTTAGTGTGTTAGGCTTTGGGGTTACTTACATGGCTTCTGTCTGCAGAGTGATCAAACATGGCATACGCTTAATGAATATAGCTCCACAAAGAAACAGTGGCTATGATGGTTTAGAGCAACCTTTGGCACGCGGCTCACCAGGGTAAGCACCTGGTGGGCCGGGCCGGTTTGTTTACCTGCCGCGTCTGCAGGTTCGACAGATCGCGACTTCCACTGGCCGCGGTTCACCGTCCCAGGCCAATGGGAGCTGCGGGAAGCGGCGCGGGCTGAGGGATGTGCTGCAGGGTAGTGAACAACCTCATCTCCAGTTGACGTTGGATGGAGGATTCTCTCCAGCTTGCAGGATTAAGCCCTTTTAAAAATAATAATTAAATATTTGGCTTTACATTTTCAAGAGATGGAACAAACATTAATCCAAACAACACCTTGTGAAGCAGATGAATGTTGTTCCCATTTACAAACTGGGAAACTGAAACAGATGTTGCACCAGGCCACAGAGCAAATGATGAAGAGGAGAATATACAAGTAAAGTGCTCAGTAGATTGGTTAATGAGAACAAAAAGAGAAATGCATTTGTAAATAGCTTTCCAACGTGCAGTAGCTTTTAATGTTAGAAAGCTTTCTTAAACGAATAGCTGGTTTATTAAAAGTTCCTTTGCCAGGGAAATTTTCTATTTGTAAGTTATTAAAATATGCAATTCTAAAAATTCAAAGATTTTTTTGGAATACTATTGCTGGTAGCTAATTCAGAAATAATGGATTAAATCCTCAGATGTACTCTTTATCCCTGAGAGGAGTGGGGGGCAATGGGTGTGCTGTTTGTGTCTCCCCACTCTTGATCTTTGGCTCATCTGGGGACTTGTTTCTCAGAACAGCTCAAAACTGTGCCCAACTGGCTATTCCCATAAGGGGGATTGCCATAGTGCACTGTGCTCTGGCTGTGTTACCCATCTCATCCACTCCCTGCCACATTATAATGCATGGCACTGGGGGAATCCCCAGCTGAGGAAATCTGACTGAGTTTTGGATCCTTTATGACACAGAAGCATTGTGAAAGGGCCAGGGCCAGGAGTGAGCTAAATGTATGTTTAATATTTTTATTACTAATGAAAAGAAGAGGTTAATCGAAAATTAAACATGCCTTCTCCTATCTTCAAAACAGATTTTCCTATAATAAGGTTGGTCACTGTTCCCTGACCTTTTCTGTGCGTAGAGATAATGAAATACCCATTGGTTCCTATTTCACATGATGCTTTCAGACGTTTCTTTCTATTTTTATCAACCAGGGTGTAGCTTCTGGGCTTATGACTTTAGGCTGAGAGTAACCGATGCCACCCACTTTGTTTGCTTTGATTTGGGAGTTTGATACAGCACAGCATATTCAGTGAACAGTTTTTCAAAGGTGTTCCCTGTATATGCTGTGCTGTATCAGAATCCTTGTTGTATATACCAGATCTGCCTGCTAAGCTGTACATTGTGTAATTTAAATGGAAGGGTCAAATTCTACCTTCGGTTACCCTCTTTACACCCATAATTTCCCCCCAAAAATAACCAAAGATGGAATTTGGCCCAAAATATTATAATTTCAAACAGAATTATGTGCAAAATAGCATATGAAAATAGGCAGGATAAATATAAATGATTGCATTACAATTTTCTCATTTTTGAATACTAAATTATTTGTCTGGAATTATAATTGAGGTGCTGAGTAAATATTGCATGCCATATTGCAACATCCAACTAATTTACATCTGAATTGCTATTATTTACTTGTATAAATAGTTGCACCTGGAGACCCCAAGTGAAATCAGGGTCACATTGTGCTAGGCACTGTATAGAAACATATTAAAAGAAAATCCCTGCCCTAAAGATCTTATAATCTAAATAGAAAAGAGAGACAATGGATGGGAGATAGTATCATCCCCATTTTACAGATGGGGATCTGAGACACAGAGAGTTTTAACTGATTTGCTCAAAGTCACACACAAAGTCAGTCTGTGACAGAGCTGAGAATTAAACCCAGATCCTCCCTAAGTTCCGGTCTAGTGCCTTAACTACAAAATTATCTTTCCTGTCTGTCTAATTGAGTAGAAGAAGTTACCCATTGTTGATGCTTCAAAAGATATTGTTGCCTCCCAGATCTGCCTTTTAGTAATACTGTTTTAGGTGATACTCTTGGAGAATGTTTCAAAACCATCACATTTGTAAATTTTGTGTATTTCATACATACAAAAGAGTAAACAAATGGTAGCGTGGTTAATGCTATTTGCTCAACTTGAAGCATGCAGGTAATGCTGTAGATGAAGCCAAAACTTGGGTAACGTTGTAGGCGTTACAACTTATGAGAGATATATTTAGTTTTTTACATTGCCAGTTACATTATGCAATTTTTGTCAGCTTTGATTTTTTTTATGTTGCATTGCGAATGTCCTGAATAGAAATTGTGGCTGTGGCTTAATACAATAATTCACTTGATTGATTGATTGTACCTCAGGTGGAGTTTGTAAGTTCAGATTTGTTACTTGGTGCTTCAACCAGGTAATGCATTTAAAAAAATATTTTCTTGCAGGTCCATCTTTCCTATCCATTCCTCATTCAGAATAGTTGCCCTGGCAGAGCCTCCTGTCATAGGAAGTAGCACAAAGCAATGGTTGGGCCCAGAGTTTTTAACTCTGTTTCTGTTCCATAATGTTAAGTCTTTCACCAGGAATGAAGAAATTCAAGTTATTAAAGAAATGGTAAGCACTTGCAATGCTTTGGCCAGTTATTAATATTGGTTTCTATTTAAAATGCTGAATATGATTACGAACTGGAATATTTTAATATACAATAGATACTCCTTTTTCTTATATGATGTGAAATCCTTTCACACAGCATAAGTGACTCCTTGATTTTTAAGTCTAGGGTATCTTCTACTGTAATTAGTATAAATTCATCTTGGTAATTTTCTATTACCATATATCAGGGGTGGCCAACCTGAGCCTGAGAAGGAGCCAGAATTTACCAATGTACATTGCCAAAGAGCCACAGTAATACGTCAGCAGCCCCCCATCTGCTCCCCCGCTCCCAGCGCCTCCTGCCAAAGGGCAGCCGCGCTGATCAGTGCCTCCCCATCCCTTCCCGCATCTCCCGATGAGCTGTTTTGTGCAGAGGGCTTGGGGGCTCAGGGGGAGGAGCGAGGGCACTGCAGGCTCAGGGGAGGGGGTGGGAAAGGGTGGAGCGGGGGCAGGGCCTGCGGCAGAGCCAGGGGTTGAGCAGTGAGCACCCCTGGCATTTTGGAAAGTTGGCACCTGTAGCTCAAACCCTGGAGTCGGTGCCTATACAAGGAGCCGCATATTAACTTCTGAAGAGCCACAGGTTGGCCACCCCTGCCATATATTCTTATATTTTTGTGACACAATTATTCCTTTTTGGTTATTTGAAATAAATGTATATGCACTACATATATGTAGGCTGTGTTTATGTAGGTGCATACGTGCGTCTCTATATAAATTACATATGCATACATAAACATGAAATATATATCAAATACTTTTTTTGTCTTTCAAACAGATTCCAAATGTGCCCACGGTTGCGGTGGAACAGTTGTTATCATTAACACACAAGCTTCGGGAGACAAATGACCCCACAGTGAGTCTAGTTTTTCAGATTTGCATTCTACTTGTCATTATATGTGTAGCTGTTTTCAGAGTCAGGGTTTTATCGCTGCACAAGAAAGGAATTATTTTCTCCAGCAATGTGAGGATGCTTCCTATTTCCTTAGGTTCTTGCCTTATGCTGACCTATCTTGACCAGTGGAGGCTGGATTAGGCTCATTCTGGAGCCAATCCCTTCACTTCTTGGAAGTGGCCACAGGAGCAGAGTGTGCTGCCAGCACAGTATTCTTAGACCCTGCTTGAATGGGATTTGAGAAACCAGCCCTGGAAATCAAACACTGGTTTCTTGTGTTATATACATGTGGCAACTTTTTTATTTTTAATATACTCATTTAGGACCTGATTAAGCAAAGCATTGAAGCATGTACATAATTTTAAGCATGTGTGCTTAAATTCTAGTGAAGTCATGCAGTATTACATGTACATTGTAGTCAGTATAACTTAAGCAAATGCATAAAATAGGAATGGGACTTAAAAGCACGTGCTGAAGTGTTTTATTGACTAGGGATGGACTAAAGAATGTGCTTAAGTTGTTTGCTGAATTATTTCAAATTGCCTCCCCTTAATAAATACTGTTATGTGTAATACAATGTTTTAGTACTGTAATTTTAAATTTGATACTTGCATTTGTTTTGGGATTACTTGGGCAGGAGGACTATCTAGCAATTAGAAAATACAGACAAGGAGGTAGGGAGATGGGGAAAAGAGGAAAGGACTCAGAACTGTTAGTAGTGTTACTGTGGTAGGCAGTTCTACTAAAGCAGTAATGTAAAAAAAAAAATTACTACTGGCACAAAAACCGCAGAACTCTTTTAAAACTGATACAGTCAAGACTCAGTTTTAAAAATTAATTTCAATGACAGCTAACATACTGTATTGATGTTTTTCTTTTTGCAAAAAAAAAAGTTTAAAATATTTTTATTGGCGTCACCCAGCATAAGTGTATAGATGTGCACGTGTAACTTGTGTTAGTTAGGTTATACACAGAAATCTACTTTCTTCAACTCTCAGGAGTTTAGCACCAGTAATAGTTTTCCACCATATTACTGTTTAGATTTGATTGGCTGCATTTCAGGAAGAAATAAAGTGCACTGTCCACATCTTAGCGGACAGCAATTTTGTTTCACATGAGATGAAGTATTTGTAGTCCATTAGTAACCAAGGACGACGTTAGAGATCAGTCTTTTAAAATCAGCAGATCTGGATAATTTCCACCCAAGAGTCCTAAAAAAGGTGACAGAGGAGATCTCTGGCCTGCTATTATTCATTTTTAATAACTCTTGGAATGCTGAGGAAATTCCCCAAGACTGGAAAAATGTTAATGTTGGGCCAATATTCAAACAGGGCAAGTGGGATGACCTGGGTAAGTATAGGCAAAATAATGGAAAAGCTGATACAGAATTCAGTTAATAAAGAACTGAAGGATGGGATTATAATTAGGGGCAGTCAACATGGTTTTATGGAAAAATAGGCCTGTCAGAAAAAGCTCATTTCATTCTTTGATGAGATTACAACTTTGATTAAGTAAAGTGCGGAGAGGTAATATACTTAGATTTTTTTGTCAGGCGTTTGAGTTAATACCATATGACGTTTTGATTTAAAAATTAGCATTATACAATGTCAATAAAGCAAACACTAAATGGATTAAGAACTGGCTAACTGACAGGTCTCAAAAAAAGGAGTTGTCAGTGGGGGAATCATCACTGAATAGAAGCCTGTCTAGTGGGGTTCCTTTGGGGTCGGCGGTACTAAGCCCACAGCTACTCAGTTTTTTTACCAGTGATCTGGAAGTAAATATAAAATTTGTGGATGGTAACAAAGATTGGTGGAATGATAAATAAGGATGAAGACAAGGTGGTCATACAGAATGTTGTTAATTGCTTGGCTAGCTAGGCCCCTTCAAACAAAATACATTTAATATAGCTAGGGCTTTACCAAATTCATGGCCATGAAAAATGCTTCACGGACCATGAAATCTGGTCTTTTGTGTGCTTTTACCCTATACTATACAGATTTCATGGGGGAGACCTGCATTTCTCAAATTGGGGGTCATGACCCAAAATAGAGTTGTGGGGGCTCACAAGGTTATTTTAGGGGGGTCGTGATATTGCCACTCTTACTTCTGCACTGCCTTCAGAGCTGGGCAGCTGGAGAGCGGCAGCTGCTGACTGAGGGCCCAGCCCTGCAGGCAACAGTGCAGAAGTTAAGGGTGGCAATACCATACCATGCCATCCTTACTTCTGTGCTGCTGACTTCAGAGCTGGGTGGCTGGCCAGTGGTGGCTGCTGACTGATGGCCCAGCTCAGCAGGCAGCAGTGCAGAAGTAAGAGTGGCAATACCATATCATGCATTCTTACTTCTGCGCTGTTGCTGGCAGCGGCTCTGCCTCCAGAGCTGGGCTCTCGGCCAGCAGCCGCTGCTTTCCAGCTGCCCAGCTCTAAAGGCAGTGCTGCCAGCTGCAGCAGTGCAGAAGTAAGGGTAGCAGTACCACAACCCCCCTAACAATAACCTTGCGATCCCGCCACAACTCCTTTTTGGGTCAGGACCCTACAATTACAACACCGTGAAATTTCAGATTTAAATAGCTGAATTCATGAAATTTATGATTTTTAAAATCTTATGACCATGAAATTGACCAGAATGGATTGTGAATTTGGTAGGGCCCTAAATATAGGCAAGTGAAAGTTATTTATCTAGGAACAAGGAATGCAGGCCATACCTACAGATTGGGGGATTGCATGCTGTATCGTAGGGATCATAGTGGACAAGTGACTCAACATGAGCTCCCAGTGTGATGCTGTGGCAAAAAGAGCTAATGCCATCTGTTGATATGCAAACAAAGGAGTGAGTAGGAGTGGAGAAGTGATTTTTACCTCTCTATATGGCATTGGTGAGACAGATAGTAGACTAGTGCCTACAGTTCTGGTGTCCACATTTTTAAAAGGATATTTAAAAGTTAGAGAGGGTACAGAGAAGCTTTTCAAAAGACATTTGACAACCTGCACAGACATACGTTGTGGAATAGTCTTTAGTCCAATGGAATCCCAGCTAAAGTTGTCAGTGCGGAGAGAAAGGAAGAAGGAGGCACGCGTCAGGACCCTAATTGGGCCCTGGGTGATCACTACTTCCCACCACTCAACACAGATGTAATAAGGTTGAGTAGTGTCCATATAAAAAAAATTAAAACTACTGATTATTCCTCAGAAAAGGTTTTTAATGACTTTAGACTATAAAAGCAACACAGACAAAATAAGAAAAGCAAGAATAAAGACCAACACTGAATAAGAATTAATATAAATGGCAAGTTATACTGAAGACAAGCACAAGTATATGTAAAGTTATTATTCATCAGCTACTTACTACTATTCTTAACACTATAGTATCGATACAGACTTGAGATCAAATCAGCTCGAGCAACCAGACTTCTTTACTCCATAAACGTATACTGCATGCAACCAGACTTCTTTACTCCATAAACTTACCGTGCATTCGTCCGAAAATATGTTACCCTTCAGTCGGCCGTTTTCCGCACTGGCCAAGTACGGAGAGTCAAGACGTGCACGTCCCTTCGGTTCAGGGGGTGTGGGTCAGATTTCCCTTATGACCGAAACACACACACAATCCCATGCCTTCGTACTTTTTATCTGATCTGTCGGCAGTGTTTTAAAACAGACCAACCAATTAGGGTCGGCCAAATCTTTAATGTGGTTAGATTGTATAATTTAGGCTTACTTATCTTCTTGTAGCCAGTTATTTTATAGATTATTTTACCACATAGGAGTCAGCATAGATTGTTATCTGGTTGCAGCGCATTTTGACCACAAGTTTTAGCTTGCTTCTTACCTCTGCAAAGCGTGCCCTTTTTACTTCTGCAAAGCTTGCCCTTTTACCTATGCAAAGCAGAAGTTTGAGGCCTAACATCGACAATACCTTTGTTCATTTCAAGTCTGGCAATACTTTTGTTCACAGATTAATCACAGTCAGCATCATCAAGGCCATATACAGAGATGAGAAGTGCTCGGTTAGGTTGATAGGTTTCAGAGTGGTAGCTGTGTTAGTCTGTATCAGCAAAAACAACGAGGAGTCCTTGTGGCACCTTAGAGACTAACAAATTTATTTGGGCATAAGCTTTTGTGGGCTAAAACCCACTTCATCAGATGCATGGAGTGGAAAATACAGGAGCAAGTATAAATACATGAAAAGATGTGATTTGCCTTACCAAGTGTGAGGTCAGTCTAACGAGACAATTCAATTGACAGCAGGATACCAAGGGAGGAAAAATAACTTTTGAAGTGGTAATGAGAGTGGCCCATTTCAGACAGTTGACAAGAAGGTGTGAGAAACAGTAGGGGAAATTAGTATTGGGGAAATTAAGTTTAGGTTTTGTAATGACCCAACCACTCCCAGTCTTTATTCAGGCCTAATCTGATGGTGTCCAGTTTGCAAATTAATTCCAGTTCTGCAGTTTTACGTTGGAGTCTGTTTTTGAAGTTTTTGTTGTTGAAGAATTGCCACTTTCAGGTCTGTTATTGAGTAACCAGGGAGATTGAAGTGTTCTCCTACTGGTTTCTGAATGTCCATGCATCTGATGAAGTGGGTTCTAGCCCACGAAAGCTTATGTCCAAATAAATTTGTTAGACTCTAAGGTGCCACAAGGACTCCTCGTTGTTTCTGTTAGGGTGAACAACCAGACAACAGAGTGGTTCAGTGTGGATATAGGTGTGAAACAGGGCTGCATTTTATCTCCGCTGTTTGACATTTCCATAGACTGAATAGTGAAGAAGTGTATTAACAAGATAAACAGAGGAATGGAATGGGTAGATGGCAAATGCTTAGAAGACCTGGACTTCGTTGATGATATTGTGCTACTAAGTGACACCTCAAAAAAGTTACGTACAAAGACAGACAATCTGCCAGCAACGGCAGACCTAGCATGGCTCAGAATTAGTTGTGCTAAAACAAACGTCTATGAAA